ATCATAGAGCAGTTCAAACAGTGAGTGTTATTTAATACAGTCTTTGTTTAAAAGATGTTTAATATTTACTTACACTCTGCAGTGAGGGAAGGAGGGGTGGTGTTTCTGGTTAATAAGTGACAGTGTGTGTATGTCTGTGTACGCTTGTTTACTTGCTTTCAGGTTGAACATTAAATCCATCATTAATATGCAGCTCCCCGGGGAACATGCTCACTGCGGCCCTCCTCTGGACCCTGGCAGTGGGTTCACATATTCACCTCAGATCTTTATGGACAGTCAAAGTGAGCCAAAGTCATGAACTTTCATAAACTGAACTTCTAATAATAGTGTGAACCTCTTGCAAAATCGATCAAGCACATGTCTGTCTCATATTACACCCTAGAATAAAAAACCTAATAAAAGAAAATTAATAATACTTTGAAACATGATATAAGAAATTGAAGATGTTTTGCATTGTGTCATTCCTAACTCTCATAACCATATCAAGTTTTAAATACACTACTGTTCAAAAGTCTGGGGTTAGTCAGGTTTTTTAATGTTTTGCTTAAGCTTTTACTGTATTTTAGAATGTAATTTAGTCCTATGATGCAAAGCTGAATTTTCAGCATCATTACTCCAGTCTTCAGTGTCACATGATCCTTCAGAAATCAGTATAATGTGCTGATTTGCTGCTCAAGAAACATTTATTTTTTATCATCAACTGTTGAAAACAGTTGTGCTGCTTCATATTTTTGTGGAAACTGTGATACATTTTCTTTCAGGATTCTTTGGTGAATAGAAAGTAAGAAACAGCATTTATTTAAAATATGATTTTTTTCCTGTCAGTTTTGAACAATTTAATGCAAGTTAATTTCTTTTAAATAAATCTATACTTTGCATATATTATTATATTATTATATTTAATATATATTATCATGTCACAATGGAAACATATATGTATTGGTCCTACAAATATGAATGCTCTTTTTCTCCATGCTATGCAAAATACAATATATTTCTCTTTTTATGTTGAGGTTAAATATACCTGAATGTTCAGCAATAAATTAACTGGTGAATTATTGAATCATGTTCCTTTTTGTCTGACAGTTTACTTCTATAACTTTGGGATGTCTGATTTTGGTGTGTCGTCTCTGGAGGGGATGCTGGATGCCGTGAAGGTTTTGGCCTTCTCTGTGCAGGAAGGAAAGGTGGCTGTTCATTGCCATGCTGGACTGGGAAGGACAGGCAAGTTGCAACTCATGCATTATTACTTTAAGTCTAAATTTAGTGATGTACTATTTAAGTGAAGTCCTTAATATCTGCCCTGTGTTACAGGTGTTCTTATCGCATGTTTTCTGGTCTACACCTGTCGAATAAGCGCTAGTGAAGCGGTCCACTATGTTCGGATCAAAAGGCCTCACTCAATCCAGACGCGATCCCAGATCAATCTGGTATTTGATTTTGCACGGCTGGTGGGCTCTCAGCTGGCCCAATACCCATGTCTGAACATGCGCCACGGTTCCTCCTTCAGTCTCCGGCAGTATCTCCTGCGTCAGGTCCTTCTGCTGCACGGGGACGAGGCCCGAACCCTCAAACACACTCCCAAGATCCTGCATGTCCTCTGCAGCATGCTGATCACTCTCACCCAGGGGGCTCCCAGTCCTCCAGAGGTCCAGAGAGAACTGGAGAAGAGGCTGAACATTTTGGCTCTGAAGAAGGCAGTGAAGGTGACACTTTTGAAGAGAAACCTGCCTGCTTTGAAGGAAAGGAGAGGTTCATGCAGAGCGTACTCCTGCGAGTCCTGGGATGAGCCATTTGGGTTCTTGGAGAGGAAGAGAGACGTCCTTCTAAACAAGCGAAGCTACAGCGAGTCAGATCTTAGCAAGATTACTATCATCGAGGTGAGAACCAATCAGTTTTCAGCAAATTTGCAGTATTCTGAAATTTTAGAAAATAAAAATAAATGGTAACACTTCACAATAAGGTGCCATTTGTTAAAATTTGTTAATTATATTAGTTAACATGAACTAACAATGGAAATAATTCTAATGCATTTATTAATCTAGGTCAATACTGACTTCAACATTTACTAATATGTTAAATATTAATATTATAATGGACCCGATATGAACTAACAGTTAACAGTTGTATTTTTATAAAGTAATATTCGAAAAAAGTTTAATGCTGTAACAAAAGTTTTGCTCATTGTAAGTTAATGTTAGTTAATGCATTAACAAATGTAGGACCATATTATAAAGTTTTACTAAATAAATATATTCTGAAACATAAATAAAGTGGAATTAATCAGATGCATCAATTCAGGATTGAGTCCACCCTTATTATCTCCAATATTGGATTTCAGCCTCAAAGCTTCATTTGTTTTTGGACTATTATTTTAATTTTTGAGTATACATATATACATATATATACTGTATATATATGAAAATATAAAGATATTTGCATTGTGCCACTCCTACTTCTCATTACCATAATATATATAAAAATATATACTTCCCTTCCCTCTTCTCTCCTTTATTTATATTAAAAAACATAACATTCTAAACTATATATATATAGTATAGATACATACACAGTTTATGAAACTGCATAACAATGCCATATGAAATCCTGTTGTTTCTCCCAGGATTTTATGTTGTCACGCTACTCTCCTAAATCTGGTGGACACCATAAATTAAGCAATGGAGAAATCGGTCCATCAAAAGATCAGAGAATCCCAACAGAATCCCAAAAGAGTCCTCACACCCCGATGGCAGACCAGTGCAATGGGACGGAGAGATGCAGCCCCTATCCACCATCAGCTCCTCACTCACATAATGAGACGGTGAACAAGAAGACGAAATGCACAACCAAGAAACCTCAAGCTTACCTGAAGTACAGCTCAAACACCGAGGTCAGTGTGAGATCAAATAAAATATCCACCATTTTTTTTTCTGCATCTTACATCACTGCCTGAAGGGGTTTGAGAACTTTTATTTTGTATTACCTCTAATTTGTGCAAATGTTGTGGATGTTTTAATTTAAGCTACGGCTGGAGTATCATACATCAGTTCAATCATCATTATCAAGAGCTGTCGCTGAAGCAATGGCGCAACAGTGCCTTCCACTTGACACTGTATTGAAAAAAGCAGTGGTTTTGCAGGTAAAGCATGTTTGACTTGATTTTGACACGTAGAATACGTTCCTGGATCCACACCCTTGTTAGTTTCAAGACTGACAAAATGTTTTGGTCCAGTAACACATTATTTTCACCATACAAAGCATGATCATATTTTCAAGGTTCACTTCATTGGTCATGTGATTGCATGTACTGTACAGATATAATAGCCTATACAGAGCAATGCTTATCATGGTATTTATCATGTTACATAATCTGCATTTTTTTCATAATTTTTTTTACATTTATTAATTTATTTTTTGTTGCTTTAAAATCGCTCAGATAACCATATTGGCTTTTACACTTGATCGTATTTATCTAGCAGTCTCCTTATTCTGTCTGCATGATTTACCATCATTGTTTTGTTAAAAGTTTGTTTGCTGTATTCTAATTTTAATTAATTACATTTTATGTTTTTACATATTTTCCAAATTTCTTACTTTCTAAGTAACCAAAAGATATTCATAATTGCTATATCATTTTGTTTTATCCCAGGTTCAGCCAAGTAACAGAGTTCAGTCAGTGAATGCTGTGTTAATGTAAGAGATTTTACCCTGTTTTAATTCTCCCCAGGATGAGCTCAACTTGAGTGAATGTGGCTGGGCTACACTTGTCATGGAAACAGATCCAGATGTTCTGAGCACACTGTTATGGATCTGGCTGGAAAAACTAAAGGTCAGTGGTCACTATGGTAGTTATGACACAATATGATGCAAATAATAGATTCTGCAAAACAAGACATACACATAAGATGCTTAAGAACTGTTAAAAACTATACTTTTAAGAAAGATTTTTCTCATTGCTTCGTATGCAGTGTTTTAGCTGTTGCGCTTTATCATAACAGGATCCTGTTCTCAATAAAGATGACATAGAGAGGCTGACCTCAGCCTGGCCTGCGCAAAACCCCCTTATTTCACTGCAAAAGGTGAAAGTCTGAACTCATTGTGACAGAACACACTACAACACATGGGTTGATGTTGAACTGCATTATGTACAATTTGTGAATACATTTTGTAAGCATAAAACCCCTAGAAATGGCAGTTTAACAAGTTTTAAAATTGCTTACATTTCTGTTACGCTTTTTTTGTGCATCACACATATGACATATTTCACAGCTTATACACTAAAAGAAAATAGTATTTTCCATATTCCAGTATTTACAACTTGTACAACAATGTACAGCTTCATGTGGTTATAATTCTGTGTTGTTTTAGTGTCAGCGGCACACCATCTGCTGTTTGCTGGACTGTGTGGGTCATGTGGCGGTTCAATGTCCTCAGTTTGAACATGCTATACTACAGAGGCTCATTCGAGCTTTAACAAGAGTAAGTGTGTGTGTACATGTGCTAATGTTCCCAAATAAAGAGATAGTAATCAAATAATAGAAGTATTTTAAAGTCACTTTTGCATGATTTTGTATTACAACAGCGTCATCCAGAGGAAATAGAGAGAAACAACATCTTGTTACGGGTCCTCAGAGCTATAATGAGAGAGCAGTACCTACACAACCACTACCCAAGTACTACAACACCATCAAAGTGCTAGGAGCAGTGGTTAAACTAATGAAACCAATAAAGATATCTATAGAAAGAACCATTGTTTGACGGTATAGTCGAATGACTGATCGAGTTATTGATTTCTATTTCAATGTGCACAGTACTCCTCATAACTATTTAAATACTTATTATATCATGTATAAAAGTGTCTGAATGTTTTTGCATTAGTTAAGAAAATATCAAACCAAGGGGTGTCTGCAAAATGAACTGTTCTAGCCATTTTTGTCTTTTTTTTTAAAAGAGTATTGCGGTATCAATTAAAACATATTTTTTTGTGAAATGTTTAGCTTTAAAATGTATTTATTTACATTTTTTTCTTTGGAAGTGTCACATCACATAATATATAGTAGGCTTACATAAAATATTTTCAAATTCATCATTGGTTTTCCATACATTTTTCCAAACAACATTTTACAAAACTAAGACAAAATACAAAAATCAAATGGGAAAATATAAATATAATAAAGTATATTCGAGAAAATGTTCTCTCTTCTTTCTAAACTAATATATTGTGATTTCTTAAAAATCTCATTTTAATATTTTTGATTTATTTACTAATTAAGTGTTGATTGATTTACTTTAGATATGTTTTTAGTATATAGCCTAATGGTTGTTACTTTGAAACATTGTTGAATGTGTTTTTCTAAGTGTTTTAAAGTAGTGTAATCCGGTCTAAAGACAGAGGAACCTAATACAGTATGTGTGTATTAAACTAGCATTTGAAATTTGCACTTGTTGAATTTAGTTATGCCTTAATTGGTCAAATAATTAACAGTACTGCACGGATTAAGCTGGATTTGCATGTAGAGCCACTGGAATGTCACTCAAAACGACATCAAAGAATCTCCAAGGAGACGGCGTCATAGAGATTCAAAAGAAACAATTCTAAACAATCCAAAACAGCCGCAGCAGCTGAGAGTTTGATTAGAGCTCTTCACGAGCTACTACATTTAGTACATTATTTTACCTTTATATGTCAATAATACAGTTTTGTGCAGATATTGTAAATCAGCATCGTCATTTTGTCGTTTTAAGTTACTTTTCATCTAAAAATCATCAACGCACTGAACACAATCTAAGAGATAATATTACATCAAGTTTTAAAAGAGCATTTCTTTCAAACTCACCTGGAGATCGAAAAGTCTATTCAATTCACGCACTTTTTAATATCTTGCACTTACGGTAAGTTGCTATTTCCTCTCCTTCGTTTGCTGTTTATATTTATGCATTTTGCTACAGAAAACATAGCTATCTCGCAACAGTTACCAGTTACGGAGCTGTATGATAATAAAATTAAATGAGACTAAATGCAAATTAAGTGTTTTGCAGCTGCCTACACTAGGCAAAAAGTGTCATGGTAACGTGTTATTAATTTTGCCGTTTTAAGTTACTTTTCATCTAAAAATCATCAACACAATCTAAGAGATAATATTACATCAAGTTTTAAAAGAGCATTTCTTTCAAACTCACCTGGAGATTGAAAAGTCTATTCAATTCACGCACTTTTTAATATCTTGCACTTACGGTAAGTTGCTATTTCGTCTCCTTCGTTTGCTGTTTATATTTATGCATTTTGCTACAGAAAACATAGCTATCTCGCAACAGTTACCAGTTACGGAGCTGTATGATAATAAAATTAAATGAGACTAAATGCAAATTAAGTGTTTTGCAGCTGCCTACACTAGGCAAAAAGTGTCATGGTAACGTGTTATTGCCTGTCATCACTTCCAGAAAACTACCATAGCCTACTACTTATCTGTAAGGGTAGTGGAGTTAAAGGCTACATTGCATCATAAAATGCTGATTGATATTCATGTGTTATTATTTTAACACTTTTTCAAGTATTTATTAGGGCCCAAGCCGGTAAGGCGCAGGCCCTATTGTTTTTCTTGTGTCATTTTCAAAATGCTTTTAATTTGGCATCTTATTTTTACACGATTCGCTTCAAACTTCATCAGATTAATGTCAAAACACGGCCGATGTAAAACTGTTGAGGGGATATTGATATCTAAAATTTTGTTGCCATGGCAACATGTCAAACTTGAATATTCTTTTCTGGTGATTTTGGGGCAGATAACATTCTTAGAATTTCATGAAACTCAACACACATATAAGTATTAATGATATATAGACACTGGCAAAAGCTCATAAAAGGGCGGGGATGAGGCACTCTATAGCGCCACCTTTTGACAAAACTTTGGGGGTTAGTTTTAGCTACAGTCACCAAACGTGGTACATATATTGTTCTCATCAACCCGGACAACTTTCTAATTTACAGTAATTAGCTACGACCAACAGGAAGTCAGCTATTTTGATTTGAATGTGAATTTTTGGAAAAATATTGCTGTGAATTAATGCATACTCCTCAGAGGAGAAAAATACTATACACACCAAACTTTTCCTACATGATGCCAAAACATTGAGGAACTTAAATTGCAGATGGATTTTGGATAGCTTGAACAGTTTTGCTGTGGTGATTTATTAAAATATCAGTAAAAAAGAAAACAGTAATTGTCTTATATTATTAAAGTGCCTTTTCCAAACTCTTCAAAACTTTTTACTTATAGAGAACAAGTCATTCTGAGGAAACTTGCTTCGTTAAAAAAATGCATCATGCTCAGAGGCCACAAAAAATTAAAACTATCACTCATTATTGGTGTCAGGTAAAGACCGTAATACCAAGGATGAACTCCATCTGGTGTTTATGCACCAAGAGTTTGTAACACTCCAAAGAGAAAGGAAAAATTTGAATCGCATCATTTCGCAATCGCAAAAGATTTGTAATCCTTTAACCTTAATCCTGATCAGCTAATTAGCTGTGTATCAGAATGAAAACAAATGCATAGAATCAGTTGAAATGTTACGGCCGTTCTGTACTCTCAGTATACTTCAAATTAATTATTGTGGAAATAATTTTTTCTTTAAAGATTTTTAAAAATGATTTCAATGCTCTAAAAGCATTACAACTTATTTATCCTACCTCTCTCACTGCTAGGATAAAAAAATATTTTAAGTCTGACCCTTTACAGCTCAGTTCAATTAATTAGAATAATAAATATATATAAAATAAGTTAATATGTATTTTACTGGTAACATTGTTTTATATAATTTTGACAACTGCTTATATATCATTAAAATAATTTTTATAAAAGTTTATAGATCATAAAAAGTGTTGGCAACAATTTACAATAAGGTCTCTTTGGTTAACATTATTTAATGCATTAACTAACATGAACTGACAATGAACAATATATTTTTAGATTACTTATTCATCTTTTTTAATGTTAGTTAAAACTAACATGAAATATTCATGTTCATGTTAATTCACAGTACATAAACTAATGTTAAGATACAACTTTACATTTTAATAATGTATTAAAACATTTTTAACTTAACATTAATTAACATTAATTTATGTTAATAACTGCAACCTTATTGAAAGTGTTACCAAAGTTTTAAAAATGGTTGTATGTGTGTGTCTTTATGGTTCGTATTAACTCTTTAATTGCCTTATCCCTTAAAACCAGACTGCCAGAGGGTTACTGTAAATGCATGTGCCCACTGTGCACCGTTCTCCTGATGCCACCGGGGTGGCGTTTGCACTAACGGCTTGGGCCCGCCATCGCTGCTTGCAGCTATATTTATTATTAATTTACAAGTAGTTTTAGTAATTATGTTAAAAAAAATCTGTTTTTCCAACAGACATCATGTCACCTGTGGAAGTATGGGTGGGTCCATGGAGGCCCCACAGGCCAAGGGGCCCCATCGCTGCACTGTATAACAGTCCAGGGCCAACATATGCTCTGCCAGGGGCAACTGGTACACACACACACACACATTTGTGACCCTGGACCACAAAACCAGTCTTAAGTCGCTGGGGTATATTTGTAGCAATAGCCAAAAATATTGTATGGGTCAAAATTATTGATTTTTCTTTTATGCCAAAAATCATTAGGATATTAAGTAAAGATAATGTTCCATGAAGATATTTTGTAAATTTCCTACTGTAAATATATTAAAACTTCATTTTTGATTAGTAATATGCATTGCTAAGAACTTCATTTGGACAACTTTAAAGATGATTTTCTCAATATTTTGATTTTTTTGCACCCTCAGATTCCAGATTTTCAAATAGTTGTATCTCGGCCAGATATGATCCTATCATAACATACATCAATGGACAGCTTATTTATTCAGCTGATGATGTATAAATCTCAATTTCAAAAAAATTCACACTTATGACTGGTTTTGTGGTCCAGGGTCACATTTGATTCACTATATTATTGAAGACATCTTATAGACCTCCAATGGTTTTTAATATCAGGTTAATTATATATAGCCTAACCTGACCAGATCCCTACCCATAAAGTTAACCCTCACAGAAACCTTTGCGAATCACCAGATTAAAAAATATAAACATTATTTGACTGTTTTGTGAGTCTTGTTAACTAGTGAAACCATATAAAATGTGCCCACTTGTTGTTTGTCATATATGTCACTATAAGTGCGGATATTTGGCCCTCGCAAGTATAGCTAAACAGGTACACACACACACACACACACACACACACACACACACACACACACACAAATGGGGACATTGCATAGATTCTACTGTTTTTATATACAGATATTTACAAATGCAATAACCTAATCCACACCCTGACCCTAAGAGAAAACGTTTTACATGTTTCACAGTTTCTAAAACATTTTTTTACTTACTTTTTTATACTGTTACAAATGATGAAGTCCCCAAAAAGATTTAGCTCACTTCTGGGCACAAAATGTCCCCAATATATTTAGTAGGTTCATGCATACAAAATTTACAATAAATACATCCAGTGTCAGGATCACCAGTCACCTTGCCTATCACCTCTGCACACTACATCTCCCACAATCCTCCTTGGCTATCACCTGCACACACTTCACAATCACCAGATCTGTCTGCCATCATCCTCATCAACTCTATATAAAAGCCAGCACCACACACACAGGCCTTGTCTGGTCTCATGACTATAGGACTGCTAGTCATTACTTACCTGTGTGATATGTTTGCCTTCCTTCCTGGATTCCCTTGTGCAATCTGGAAAGACCTGTGAGAAGAAAGACAAAGTTCCAATTCGGAGGACCTGTAACCATTTCTAAATGTTATTTTTAAGTGATAAACCATTGCCCTGCTGTGATTTTGAGGCATTTCTGTGCACTACACAGGAATGAACAACCATGACCCGCGGATGCAGAAAGG